CTTTCCCCCAGCTCTTCACTCTTTTGGATACCTTCTCCTGTAGGAGAAGATCCTGAGAGGATGAGCAGTCCCCGAGCGCCACTTGGACACCTAAAAAACGCTCCACCTTGTCTGCGTCTACTCGTTCCATACCCCACAGCATTGACAGCGAGAACTGTTTGGGGAGGAAAAAAACAGACTTGTTCCAATTGACTGCTGCCTCAGATAGTTCTGCAAAGTCCGCCAGACACCTCTTGAGCGCATTTAGTGAACGGTTGCTGTTGGCAGAGATGGCAAAGAGGTCGTCCGCTAAGGCTTTCACTCGGCTTTCTTTTCCCTCTAAACCACAGAGATCGATGATTTCCGGATGAGAACGAATGTTACAGAGCAGTGGTTCGAGATGAAGCACAAAGAGTAGGGGAGCCAACGGGCAGCCCTGCCGCAGCGACCGTGAAAATCTGAACTCCTCTGAGATCCTTCCATTCACACAGACTGCTGCTGTGGAGAGGCCGTACAACGTGTTCACCCACTGATAGAAGCACTCTCCAAAGCCTAGGAATCTCAGGGTAGTTAGGACAAAAGTCCAATTCATCCTGTCGTAGGCTTTTTCCAGATCAAGCAGTAATACTGCTGTGTTCTGTTCCTCCCTCACAATCAGCTCCAGTGCCTCAATGGCTGTTACGATATTTTCAAAAATGGAACGACCACGCACGAAGGCTCCCTGATCGGGGTGGACAAGACCGGGGAGGTAGTTTGCGAGTCTGTTAGCCAAAGTTTTGGCTAGCAGCTTGTAAACTACATTAAGTACTGAGATCGGACGCCAGTTGCGGACCTCACTACGTTCTCCCTTCTTATAGAGAAGTGAGACAATCCCCCTCGTCATTGTCTGCCCCAGTCTTTCCCCTTCTCGAATGGCATTATAGACCTCCACCAAGTCCAATTTCAAGTCGTCCCAACAGGCTTCGTAAAATTCTACCGGTAGTCCATCATCTCCCGGCGCTTTCCCCCAGGCCATAACTGTAGAGTGGCCGTCAGTTCCTCCTCTGTTACTGGTCTGTCCAGCCAAACCTTACCTCCATCTGAGAGACGTGCTGTTACATTGTTCCACAAGGCTGACCCCTCTGCCATGTTATCGTCCAGCTCATCATAAGGCCTCCTCGTTGTCATAATGTCCTGGTAGTAGTCCACTGTGTAGCTACACATGTCCTCATTTGGGGTTGAAACCGGTCTCCCCAGCTGGTGAGGGTGCTTCAGTTCTCTCATCTGCACGGCCTTGGTCTTGGGAAGGAGGCGTCTGAAGGTCTCCTTAGTTACCCGATGTGATGATACCCTTGGTCTCGAGAATCCTTGCCATCCTCTCCTGTTTCTGTACCTGCCAGTTGTCCCAAGCTTGCAATCTCTCCTTTCGTTCCTCCGCCCAGAATAGATCCGAGACTGGGTGTTTTCCTAGCTCCCTTTCCGCTTCTTCCACTCTGTTTTTTCAGGTCCGTCTCCTCCTTGTTTCGATGAAAGGCCGCAATTTGGGAGAAGTCCAACTTCAGAGATATCACTCTTAGACCCGAGTCCAGCCACTCTGCGGGTGAGTCACAGGAGGGCTTTAGCAGTTTCCATTCCGGTCTATGGACAGTCCTTCCTCCCGTTCTGAATCCAGTCCCGGTTTACACACAGTATTCCAGTCACCTGCTACCACCATCCGACTTGTTCGAGGTAGACGTAAGGTAGCAGCTTGAAGAACTTGGTGCGATCCCCTGTTTTGTTCGGCGCATACACTGTTGCGAACAGCCAGTCTTCATTCCCCATAGCCAGCTTCACCCAACACCACCGACCCCAAGCGTCACTATCGCAGTCCAACAATCTGGCCTCGAGCCGATTGTGGATAAGAATGGCCACGCCCCCTTTTGAATCTCTGGCCGGGGACCACAATTGTGGACCGTCCCACCATTCCCTGAACTGTGTCAGCTTCACCCCGATAGCTTGGTTTCCTGAATTAGCAATATATATCTATTCTGTTCCGATGTACCCAGCTCTTTAGACGCACTCCTTCCGTTGGAGTCCCCCAGTCCCTGCACATTCCAGGCTGCTATTCGGATTTTACCCATTCTTAGAGCTTCCTGGATTGACAGATTGGATTCCAGCTACTGGTGGGTTGGTGCTTCGCGCATCCCCTACATCCCTGGTCTGCATAGGAGCTAACCATTCTGAGGTCAGGCAGTCTGTAAACGTCTTAGACGTTAGGTTACTAGACCTTGGCATATTCGGGTTCAAATCCGCCAGGAAAGAAGCCGGAATGCCAGGCTCAACTGTGATCTCCGTCAAAAGATCAATCAGGGGTTCGGTCAAGGCATCTAACGTGAAGGTATCTAAGCCCACCTGCTTCTGAAGGGATTCTAGCGTCAATGAATACCACCGCGTATCTGACTACTTTAGCATCTTCCAGCTCCACCCTGAGTTTCGGCATATAAAATTCAGGAAATAATCTGAATTCAAATCGATCGGCAAAGAGATATTGGACTCTTTCTTTGACCGTAGACTGCATCGGTATTTCAGACAGACCTGCTGTTGGGAGCACCAAGTTATCCTCTCTGTCAAGGAGACCTATGACGTGCACTATCTGATCCTGCATCGTACAGACCAGAGGCAAGAGTATCTGTTCTTCGAGCTGGCGCCCCTCCCTTCCGGCTGCTTCAACACCTTCTGGAATCTGTCCTGGAGAGGCGTCCATACCAGAGTCGGGGCGATCAGATGTTGGAGACTGAGGATTGCCGTCGGAGTCTTTATCTAGACCGCCATCTTCCTCATCCTGGAACACTTCCTGTCTCCTTGGAGAGACCCGCTCTTCTCCCCTCCTGACGACCCTCGCTTCTGGCCTGCCACCTCTGTTGTCCACGAGGTGCTCTCCTCCTGGGGCTCCGTACATGACCTAGTTCAATCCCTGCCCAGTGCCATAATAATTATGGAGTTGAGGCATGGACATGGCCAATGACGGATTGTGTTGTTGATATCCCAATCCTTGCCAGGCCATCTGCCCCCATGAGTGCAAGTAGGGATTAAACCCTGCACTTGGCGCGGTGCCATACTGAGGAGGGAGGTAAGGCAATCCTTGATATTGCATCACCTGCTCCCCACCTGGGTCTTGAGCTCGAGAGGCTTCCCTCACTTGTGCGCCTCTACTACTGCCTTGGGCTGACCGGCCGTTTTCCCTTGAGCTCTGAGCCGGGGGTAGGCGACTGATGCGGGCAGGAATTTGCCTACTGCTACTGTCCTTGCAACTTGTGATCTCTCTTGAGAGCGTACAGGGGCAACTGCCACTTGTCCTTCCGGCTGGGGAACTGCCTCTCTTGCCGCCGACCTTATGTGCCGATCTTCTGACGATCTCGGACCCCGACCCGAAAAGTTGTCTCCCTGCCTCTGGTCGTTATTCCCCTCTCCCTCCTCTTCCCCAGCTCTCGGGCAACCATCATCCGCCGTATGGTACCACCATCTACATCTCGTGCACCAGGGGGTGTCCTTGCAGACGAATTTGATTTGCAGTACCTCCCTTCCCAATCTGATTGGAAGTTCTGCCTCGAAATTTTCCTCCGCTTCTTTCACCAACTCAAATTTCAAATTCATAAGTTTCGGTCTTGTTGTATCCTGCTCCGCCGGAAGGCTTTTGATGACATGACCCATCGAGGTCTCGATCATACTCTCCACGTGAAACATGGCTCGCAGAGGAACTCTGATTGCCATCACCCAAAACTTCGACTCATCTTCTAATCTCCTTCTCTCTTCTAGCTCCGTCCTTGTAAGCCATGGCTTGAAGAGCATGTTATACTCCACCCCTCTGATTGTGATGTTGTCTTCCACTTTCGCGATCATCCACTGTGCCACTTCCCTCGACTTCGCCATGTATGAAACCACATTTGGCCCTTCAGCATGTACCCTCCCTCTTTTGGTCGTACGATCAAAGATTCGTTGTCTATACCATCCATTCTCATATACCCTGATTAGGTCCTCTCTCACCTTCATTGGCAGATCCCTGGCTGCACCTTGAAATATGATTGTCACTGTTCTCTCCTTTAACCACGTTGTGGTCAGCTCGTCCAGCCTAGGATTGACCACGAAGGTATTGATGCCGGCTTCCATCTTCCACTCTCCGCGTCTGAGTTTCTCAGGTAGAATCCCATCATCGTAACATTTTGAGATAAGTAATCGGAGTCTATCTTCATCTGACACCGGAATATCCGAGTGGCTTGGTGGAGAGCGGCCCCTGCTGCGTTGACTTCGAGATGGTCTACCTTCGTCAGCCATTTTTGCGAGTGAGCAGCTACAGTCTTTGGCTAGAGCAGGTCACTCCTCCCTGAGAGATGTACGCTCTTGTTAGCGTTTGAAGTCTTAATCCCAACCTGACGTATCAAAGGCGAGCGCCTCCCGGGACGCGCCCACTGCTGAACCTTATAAACCTTTACTACCTCCTCCTTGTTCTTCGCACGTGCTTACGCTGCTTACAGCCAACAAATGACCTTCTAGACTGAGGGTTGACCTATCCCGTCTTCCTCCAACTTGGAGCCCGCTCGGAAAATGCCGAGCACGAAGAACGGAAACACCAAGGTCATCATGGCGGTGACTCGTGGTGGTGGCCAAGACGGTGCTACCTGCTAGCACGGGACTTAGAGCGGCAACACGCCAACCGCCGTGCTCCCCCGGGCCTTGAGGCTTTGGGAAGTGGGAGCCCTAGCGCCGCGCATGCCATCGGCGTAACGCAGCGTAGCGCTATCACTCAAGGAAGCCTCGCGGCCTCCTTTTTTCATTTTCCGGTGAAGAATTTTGATGCGACCCTGAGGCAAGAGTTGTTCAGTTTATTTTTCTGCATAACTTTTTTTTTTTTTTTTTTTTTTTTTTTTTTTTGCTGAGACCCTCTTCTCTGATCCTTGCACGGCCGGGCCGCCCGGAAAACAGGGTGACCCGGGCGGCCCGGCTGGTAGCCTAGCGACGGCTGGTCCATTTTAACAATTACTTGGATGCATTTTGTGCCCCTGCAGGTTATTACCAAACATAATTCTGAACGGATCGCTAAGTATGCGTTTGAGTATGCGTATCTGAATGCAAGGAAGACGGTGACCGCTGTACACAAGGCGAACATCATGAAACTTGCTGACGGTCTATTTTTGGAATCCTGCCGCGAGGTGGCCAAGCAATACAAAGGTATCAAGTACAACGAGGTCATCGTGGACAACTGCTGCATGCAACTGGTGGCACGGCCGGAACAGTTTGATGTGATGGTAAGGATACATACAACTGTTTTCTTTTCGCTTTTGTTTTTTTTTTCTGTTTTCTTTTCGCTTTTGCGCTCTGATAATTTTGTGACAGTACATATGCATGCATGCTTGCTTACGCTTGAATTTAGACAAATGGTCACATTTTGCAGCTCCCCAAAACAAACTCGATTCTCCTTTTTTGAAATAAAATTCATGTAGTGACGTGCAAAATTGGGGATTGAGAAATATGCTGTTTTCTGAGTACTGCTGTATGCGGTACCGACTGGCTGAGATTTGCGCGTTCTTCTGAGATTTGCTGTCTGGCGGGTATGTGTGTGTGTGTGTAGCCCTCATGTGGCAGTTTTACCAAATCCGTCTGCTGAGCTTGCCAGGCTTACTGGCTGGCAGCCAAAAAAAAAAGAAAAAAAAAAGAAAAAAAAAA